GTTTATAAAGTGCTCTACACTTATTGTAGTTTCTCACAGTAGTTTCTCTCATCTTACGATATTTTTTACATCATTCTCACCAAATATTCCACTACATTTATTGAAAATGAGTTTATTGAATACTATAGTGTAGTATGAAAGTGATGACCGTCGCAGTGAGCCTGGTGATCTGTAAGACAGGTTTCACAACCTAGTGCAGACACCAGTCTCAGGAAAGGTTAAAATTATTTGCTAATTATACTTTGTATTTTATAATATAAGATTTTGTAACCATTCTTGAGAGAAATAAATATATTATTATTATTATTTATTATATAATTTGTTTCTATGTAAGTATTATATTATGCATTTTTTTTTTCAAATGTTATTTACAAAACTCATGAGGGATAATCTTGTTTGTGAGAAATCAATTCGCAACACCCTCTGAAGTGGACAAATTGAAAGCAATGAAGTCGAAAGCGTAGGTTCTCAATCATTCAACTTAACGACAACTTAGAGAAGGGGCGGTGACTGGGAGCTGTGAATCACTTGGATATGGGAACATTACAATGAAATTATTTATCTTTGTTTTACACATAGATAAACACTCAAAAATAAATAGAATTATAAAACAGAAATTGCCATAATAACATATTTTAATGAGTATATAAAATCATACTTACATTATTAATAAATTTTTGAAATAATTTAAAATATCTATGAATGGGTCTAATTCTAACGTAATGCTCTGAATTGAAAACTAAATTCAGACATATTGTCTTCTTTTTATGCTCAAGAGAGCATCATATGGATAGAATTTTGTTAAATTTAGCAATGGGTTTAGGGATTCATGCCTGAATTGGGCCTCATGTTTCTGTGTTTATATAGCTCTCAGATTACAGAAGAAAAGGCAGATAGAACACAGGGAACACGCAAGAGCGGCCACAGCAAATACATACGAGTACAAAGTCAAAACGTCAAGACATTTAAAGTAATATAAGTTTTAATAAAATCAATATTGCACATAGGTTGCGCAATGGCCGATTCTTAATTACGTAGATCTTGCGAATTCAAGAACACAATTAAATGAATACATTATTAAAAGGAGTTAAAAGGAGTCCTTTAGGCAAGGTTCCCAAGATACTAACAGCGTTGCCGCTTTGAATAGCTAGACTAATTCTTTGTCAGAGGTAGCTGCCAGCTCTTCGGTCTCCTGTGACGTCGACCAACCTTTTTGCTATTTCCTTAAAAAGCCTTACAGTGCTAGGACCCCACGGTCCAAGGGTCTCGACACCGAATGGGAGAAAATCATATTCGGAGCCTAGACCCCTGTATTTGCAAGCCTTAGCTTTTTCAGCCGCTTCGCAAGCCGCACCAGCTCTGTTGTTGGTTCCATGTAGATGGGAAGGGGCCAGCGTGTCTGTAATATAAGTTATTTACGGGATTGTTACCATGTACCTTGTTTTAAGCGAAGTTCCGGAGTTACTCCGTGATCATGGCGCTTGCAACAGTGCCTAATTATCTAAAACACGCTAAAAACATGGTTCATGGTAACAATCCCGTAAATAACTTATACTACTATAATGTTAGTGACCATGAAAGTTTAAAACAATATATTGTCAAGAAATTTGTCTTTGTGAGCAGTTTTGATAAAAACTTAATATTCACGGGACGTATTCACAAGACGATGCGTTATAGTGTACTGACGCGAGTTGATATCGCTTTTAACTTTATATCTACTTTGGTGGCATGCAATCTGTGTACTGTGCGCTCCCCATCTGCCTCTAGATCTACAATCTGAGATATAGGTAACTACTATTTTTTTGTAATTTATAGAATAAGGGTAAAGATGATTAAAATTACGAGAATGTAAGTAAATAGCACAGTTCAAATGGTCAAAAATGACACTACCTGAATACCAAGGCATTTTTTGAATGTGTATGCTGTTGGTCGCAGATGACTTTTACAGCGTCACCGGGTTTGGGGACGGCGAAATCCTAATGATCCGAGATTTGGCGAGTGCCTCTAGAGTTATTCCAGGCGGATGGCAACTCCCAACGGGGGGAGTCTCCTCTCCGTCTGGAGCCTCTAGACTACTCGAACCTGAGGGAGCGAGACTCGGACCTCGGCTCTAGTTAGCCTTTGTCGTGGGGGGTGGTAAAAAACGGCCAGGTACGTACCTGTACCTGGTATAGCGTGTCGTGTGTAAACCGGGTCTTCGCACTCTTATCCTACGGGTGCGGTGTCTGCCTAATGCTAAGCTAGTGTGCACGTTTGCTAGCTGTGTAGTGAATACCGAGGCATGTCCAAAAGTTTACTTTTATAACTCCCAGTTTTGCTGTGCAGTAATAACTTAATAGTGCAAGAGGCAGCGTAGCGACATCTAATGGCAGTCTTAAACAATTCACTATCTCCTTTTTATTGTAAGGTTTTTCCTGATGACTGTTCGTCGCTTGTAAAGATGGCACATCAATAAGCCGTTGCAATCAAACCTTTTACTGCTGTGACGAGAAAAAATAAAACTTTATTAAGCGAGGGGAAATGACGATTGCTATGTTTCGATTTTATTTGTGTGACGTCATTAATAATGATTCCTTGCTCGCGGAAAGTAAGAATATCCTGGTTTCATGTTCTACATAAATATGGGACAAGCCAGATAAAAGAAACAGTTGTTGTTGCTGTATAACCCTCTCTATGACGATCACATCTAATACAGCTTGGTGTTAAGACAATACTTTAACGATATGGATGCTTTATTGATTATGATATATCATTTAAAAAATTACATGTAAAGATAATTTGACGACCTCCGTGGCCGAGTGGTTTGTACACCGGGTTTCATGGTGTCGCCGACTCGAGAGGTCCCTGGTTCGAATCCCAGTGGGGGCAGATGTTTGTGTGATGAATACGAGCATTTGTACTCCAATTATGGATGTTTAATATCTATTTCTATATAAATATACTTATATATGTAGTATATGTATTCTATCCATTACCCTAGCATCCCATAACACAAACCTTATAGTGCTTACTTTGGGGCTAGTCTAATTGGTGTGAGTGTTATAAAAAAAAATGTTTATATCCTACAGAGAAAATTACCAAAGGAAAAGATCACTATTTGAGGGAAGTATAGATCTGTTTTATAATATAAAAGCGGTAACTCTTGGACGCTATATCACTCACACGAAAGATAAATTTAGCTTGACAAGGTTTGTATGCTTCAGTATATATAAAATAAAAATCACATAAAAAATTGTATTCTATCTAAACCGAGATCGAACGATTCACACAAATCTTTATATCAGCACTATACCATTCAAAACCCACATTGTTAGAGCTCCATTGAAGTTTGATTTATCAAAGTGACATCAATACCTACATCCAGAGGGCTTTTGTCGATCCGCACTGTATAATAAATGGTAAAGCTTTGTGCACTGCGTGGTCAGTTTTCGTTTAACGAGAAACATTACGCCTTTGAATGTGTCACAGGTATTCCCGTGAATGTTACTGGTTTTAGCATGAACTCCGTAAATTGTTATTGTTTAGTTCTATAGCGTAAGCTTCGAGTTGAGCGCACAGAGTTTAGCTTCCTGAAATAGTTTTTTTTTAATAGATGTGTCTGGCAAATGACTGCGCCCCACCTGATGTTAAGTGACGGTGAAGTCCAGATGCTAAAGCAGCAGTTCTACCTGCAACACCAGCCTCACTTTGTCGGCCTGCATGTTACTTCTTCACGCCTCTTTTAAAGGATGCCAGGTTTTAAGAAGGAGGGAATACGTAAGTGGGCAGAGCATTTAATTTACGCATAGTGCGACTAAGAAATAAGTTATCAAATTTCTTTGTACGCGTTGGAATTGTGGCCACAGTTAGACGGTGACAATGTAGGCCAGCGCGTCTTTTTAGGATTAATGTTGGAAATGTTACACCCATTATTATTCGTATTTTCTAGGTACTTCAAATCAAAATAATAAAAAGTAGAGTATTCAGTAAAATAAATGAAAAAAATGGGTGCGTGTATTTATGTAGGCGCGTGAGAAGTTATCCTTCTTTGGCATCGTTTAAAATTAGTTTTTAATTGCATGCAAATAATTAATTACAATAAATTAATAAAAAGTCTGGAAAAGGACACAGTCAATAAAGTTCAGTTTTAATTTGAAAAAATAAATAAATAATCAAAATATTCAATTAAAATCGCTACTGAATATAATTTATTAGAACATATGTGATTTGCACTTGTATGAAACTCAAACACGTATTCCGAATATACAAACTAGAAACATGTGGATAAATATTATAAATATGAATACCTATAACTGTTACTTTATTACAAAAAATAAAGATGTGGTTTTTGGTTCTACTACACCAATGGTCAAGAGATGGCGCTGTAGTCTCCTGAATCGCGCTTTGGTTCCGTTGTTCCAGTTTAATAAATACTTTTGATAGGCCTTCACAATGCAGTCGTTAGCACCCACTAAATAGAGATTCTATTTCTATTTTGTTGGTAGATTTTCTTAATGTGCGGTAAACACAAAAGTAACGCATGAAGTTGGTCGCTAAAGCGACCAACTTCATGCTGTTAAAATTTTGTGTTACAGTGATGCGCGCGCATCTTAAAATTTCACTCTCATATTTTTTTCATAACGCGCCTAAAGAAGTTTAACTTCAAAAATCATCAAAAAGCCAATTCAGAAAGATTTTTTTAAATAAGTACAGCACATTTTGGTTTAACTTTCTTTGCCTATTTCAATTGTTATAATAGAATTCCATGTAAAAACAGTCAATGTAATATCCTTGTTCATGTTGATCTATATTGACTTCACCCTCTAAAAATCATTTTAAACTGGCTTGATACCTGCTTTGTATCATATACATAACGATAACATATAATTTTTAACAACATAGCAACAACAGTTATGATAATATTTGTTGTAGAAATTCAGTTTTTGATTTTATGTACTGAATTTAATCACAGTAACGCAATTAACCGTTTACAAAGTTCAAACGTGTCGCCGCCAAACAAAATGACCACAACGTCCGCTCGTAAAGCTACATCGAAACATATCAAACCGAAAATGCCACCGAAAATCAACAAGATCTCTGGCGCCCAATACCTCACCGACATATACAAACCTTTGATGATCATCATGATCGTATGCGGTTTCAATTGTGGAGTTACCAAGGTTTTCGTCATCAAGATCTGTTTGAAAATTTACTCCCTCTTCCTTATCATCGTCATCAGCTACGCCACCATGACCTGCTGTGAAGTCGAGGACGTGTCCTTCGTATGGTCACTTCTAGAATATTCTGTTTTCGTCACCATAATGTTGTTTTACCGAAGCAAGATGGCCGCGTACCTCAATAAGCTTTACCTCATCGACACTTACTTGAGGATCAACCATAGACATTATTACAAGTGTAGGAATAAGCAAATTGCTATAATCTTGCTCATTTGGGTAATAAGAGTCACACATACGGCCATTTATTGCGTCGCCCACAGATGTTACAAATCCGCAGAATTATTTTACATCTATGAATTTTCCTTGTTCGCCTTGGATGTGAATCGCGTATGGAGGTATTGCCATTTCCATGAGATTTGGAAGCGACTAAAGCTTTTGAGAATGCGTCTGGAAGAAACGCCAGAATGTAATGCTTATTTGTACGTGAAAGACAATAGGATGATATCGGAGAATAAAGTTAGGTTTTGCTTCCTATTGTACAGAAAAATTGGTGAGTTATTGGACTTGATTTCTCCGGAATTGGATGCGTCGGTGAGTTATTTTTGTGTTTCTTTTTTCGTCCCTTATTCTCTTTTTGTCTGCTTTCGGTAGTACTTTTTAAGTGGTATTCTTTCTTGATGCATCTTTATATTTCAAAAACCTATACGCTTTTGTTCATCAGACTTTAAATTGAAAAGTAACGGAATTCTTGAATATTCCAGTTTTAGATTTAAAATATGGACCATAGATTAAACAACAAAATAAACATTTTATAAAAAAGGCGCTGCTACTACACTTATTAGTGATTTAACGAATGTCATTTTTTGAACATTCGCGAATGAGAATGCGGATGCGAATGTCTGGTACCGACATTCGCGAATGCGAATATTAAGTTTTTTTTTAAATTGGCGCCAATTGTCTATGGCATGGTGGCAGTCTCATTCGAATTGCCGAGTTGATATGAACTCATCCGACTGCAGTGACATTCCGCTCGCACCGGTCTTTCTGTAAACAAAACAAGTGAATTTTGAGGTTAGAGTTTGAATAGTGATTTATTAACATGAGTTAATCGAATTCTAGTGAAACATGGACTTATTTCACACTTTGCTATGCTGAACAAGCTAAATGCAAGCTGTGTTCAATGAAAGGCAGAACTTCTTCAAATTGTTTTTTTTCTAATATTCATATTCGCAAAACATTCGCAGAGATTTTGCGAATGCGAATGCGGATGCGAATATTCGTTACATCACTAACACTTATAATAATTCATTTTTATTTTACAGTTTTTCATAAGTGTCGTATGCTGCTTACCCAAGTTAATTTTGAACGTGTACCGCATACTTTTGGTGATTGATAAACAGGCAAGTTTTATAATAACACTAGCTGACCCAGCGAACTTCGTATCGCCATAAAAAATTGGGTGGTAGAGGGGTGCAAATTAAGGGTTGTTTGTGTTTTTAATATTACGATACATATTTAACGTAGTAACGATATAATAAATAAATAAATAAATATTTCGAACACTCACACCAATTAGCCTAGCCCCAAAGTAAGCACTATAAGGCTTGTGTTATGGGATGTTAGGGTAACGGATAGAATACATAAACTGTACATATATAAGTATATTTATATAGAAATAGATATTAAACATCCATGACTGGAGTACAAATGCTCGTATTCATCACACAAACATCTGCCCCCACCGGGATTCGAACTCAGGACCTCTCGAGTCGGCGACACCATGAAACCCGGCGTACAAACCACTCGGCCACGGAGATCGTCAATAATAATTATATAGAACACAAAATCGGTTATTGTGATTAAACCATGATAGCTAGATATATATTCTCGAGAACTTTTTTGTAGGTCTTAATGGGATCTACAAACCCGTCGCACATCATTTTGTTCTATTGTCAATAGTTTTTGCAGCGCACGCAAAAATAGGTTTTCGATTTTACACCTTGTGTTACAAAATAGCAATTTTATTACGGATCCCTAATTTTGAAAAAAAAAATATAGCCTCTAGCCTTCCTCGATAAATGGACTTCTCAACACTGAAAGAATCATTCAAATCGGACCAGTAGTTCCAGAGATTAGCGCGTTCAAATAAACAAACAAACAAACAAACTCTCCAGCTTTATAATATTAGTATAGATTAATATCGACACTATTCAATTAAAACCTTTTGATTTTGTCAAGACCTAGCAACGTTCTTTCCAATTTAGAGAAACTTACCGATAAATCTTAAGTCAATGTTTTCTAGAAAAAATCCACGCGAATAAAAATAACAATATTAAACAAAATGAGCGTGAGGTATTTGAAAACCTTCGGCCGTCAGAAATAACAAAATGAAATCGTGAGTGATAGCGATAGCCATAGCCATAGCAAACCCATTAGATCAGTGTTTCTTAACCTTTCCAATACTGCTACCCCTGTTACCTATTAGGAAAACAGATTTCACCCCGACTTTAAAATGTTATCATCAGTCCAAGAAATTCCAATTTGGCCGCTACATCTTCGTCTCTAACAATGTCATCATCAGGAGAAAATCTCGCCCCGCTTCCCACACTCAGCACCCCGCGGGCTCACTAGCAAGAATGGAGCGCATGCTCTATTTATTAGTATTATTATATAGTACTAGCTGTGCCCCGCGGTGTTACCCGCGGCTTATTAGGGAAAATAAATTGTGTATTAACAGTAAAAACAATGACTATTCACATATTTATGAAGCAAAATAATTTAAACTTAGACATCGGAAAGATCAATTTACAAAATTTGATAACTGACAGAATGGGAGAGATGATTATGCTGTCTTATGTAATTGTTTTTTGTCTCGGGTCGTAGAGCGAGACCTAGAAATCACTTTACTGCAGCACATCCCGGTAAACCACAATGCGGGACTTATTGTTTTCTGCGTAAATAAAATGTGTTTCTTGCTCTCGACACACGGGAGCATGTGGTCCTATACGATCAATTTGCACCATTGCAATAGAACACCACGACTACTACTTTTACTGATGTTGCAAATGGACGTTTCTTCACTTGCAAGTTTCAGCGGGAGCTTGAATACTGAGTGTCCGGTTTTGCCACCACTCAGCCAGGTTGCGGCTATTCTGGAGGATGCAACAGCCAGCGCAACCACTTTGTCTTTGCACAACTGTGCCAGCAGCAAGTTCATTAAAAAAGTCTTGCCGGTGCCCCCTGGTGCGTCCAAGAAATAAGACTTTCAGCGCTTCTTAAAAATTATGTCTAGTGTTATCCCTTGCCGAGGAGCTCGATGGCGCAAGTGGTTCTCGCGTTCAGCTGCGATCGTCGAAGTTAAGCAACTTTCGCAGTGGTCGGTCATTGGATGGGTGACCAAAAATTTGCTATCTCGAGCTCCTCCGTGCTTCGGAAGGCACGTTAAGCCGTTGGTCCCGGCTGCATCTGCAGTCGTTAGCACCCATCAATCCGCACTGGGCTCGCGCGGTGGGTCATGGCCCAATCTCCCCATTCCATCCATAGGGAAGGCCTGTGCCCCAGCAGTGGGGACATTAATAGGCTGATGATGATGATGATCCCTTGGTATCGGCGAGCAATGTCCTCTGACAAAGCGCTTTTTATACTTGCACCACAATTGCCGGGGGTTGGAGAGTCCGCAGGTGCTTATCATAATCGCAAAGAGCTCTCTCAACGTAGTCGCTGACCAGCACAACATTGTGCACTCCATCGTTGCGTCCCAGTGGCCGTCGTCTTCAAGCAGCTTCATCGCCTCACATGCTTCTTGAAAAGTGGCCTTTTCCTGCCCATCGACGATTTTGAGCGCTTGAAAACTGGTAGGACCCCGGATTCTAGTAATAGCAACAGCAACCGTACACAATAGCACTCAAAGTGTGTTATGTGTACGGTATAAATTCTACCGTGGGCATCTAAGGCTTTCACACCAGGCCAACCGTCGACGGGTGCGCCATGCACGCAACGTTCCATTGTTTTCGTGACGCATTCCACGTGCGAGCAAACTCGTCTTCCTGGCACAGTTGCTCGCTCCATACCTTGAATGATTTGACACCGTTTGTCAATTTCCGCGTCGTCGTCTCCCATAAAATACACCTGTAAAAATTGTGGCTGTTCATTAGGTGACCAGCACCCATTTTGTGATGTAGTTGGCCATGCACTGTGAACGTTGGGGAAAATCCAGGCATTGCAAAAAGGACAATGGCGAAATATTTGTTGAAGTAAATCTATATCGTCTATAGATGTCATTATCAGAAATGTTAATAAAATAATCTCAAAAGATTTATTAAACAATTGAGGAGGGTTGTCTAAGTCTGGAATTAAAAACTTAAAAAAGGGAAACACAATTGACTATTTTTTTTTATTTTTATTGTGGCTTGGCCATGATGGCTTTTGAGCCATTCATTTTAAGTGTTTTTAGTGATGAAATCAACTTTAAATATGTTGTTCGTATGTTTTGCATCGCTTTATGCTTGAACTGTATTTAATTATCTATCAAAAATATTGGGAAACATTATTTTTCAATATTATACTGAAACCATATTAAATAATCTCCACAATACAAAAAGAGTATGGCGACAATTCTAACGAAAAAAAATATAACTGTCACTGTCATGCTTGTCATCGAATTGTTGTTGTTATTGTTATCATTATATAACATTGTTTGTGCTTAGGTGAATGCATATTGCAAAGATTTCAATCGGCGTATTGTGTTTTTCTGAGATTTGTTTTTTTATGTGACTTGAACTGTATTTGGACTTTCGAAATCTTTCTCTGCGACTGTTGAGTAGTGCTTGCCTAAGACTTCCGAATCTGATATTTTGCTGTGGATTTTGGACACGATTCTGTCCCATACTGTGGATTTTATTTCATTGTATCTACTATCTACGATATTGTGATCAAAGATGTGGAATAAAAAATATATGAAAAGTGTTGCATATTTAATTAATATCCCATTAGTACATTATAAGAAATCCTTTTTTTATGCTTTATTATTGCAGTGGGCATTTTCAAATTGTTAAGTACTTCTTACAGCACAGACATTGTATTTGAACTCAATAACTCTTGTCTGATAATAAGTATTTTGACGCGGTTGGTCAGTACCTACGCCAAAGAAAGAAAGAAAGAAAGCCAACTGATCATACATTGTAAAAAACATTTTTTTTCGTCACTAATCTTCAGGACCGGTCTACTTCTATAGTTCCGTTCCACGTATTTTTTATTTTGATATAAAAATACTCTTGAAACAAACTTTTATAATTCGTTTTTGCATTACTTGGTAGGACATAACCTCCAAAACTTCAAAGTAGAATATTTATAAATCCGGACTTCCTATAATATAAGAAATAAGATGAATCAAATCAAGAATGTAAACTATATAATTTAACATGCAATTCATTTATAGACGCAAGAAAAGATTTCAACAAAAAATTGTATGGGAGTTCGCCATTGTCCTTTGTCCGCCCCGAACGACGACATGTAAAAGCAAAGCATGGGTACAACGCAGTTTTAGAACCGTCAAGATTCATCAATTTCACCTGTAAATAATGTATTTAAGGGTTCCACAGGCTCTTCTAAAACAGGAATGGCTACTTTGCCCCCAGAGCTACACATTCCCGCTCTTTCCTCATTCCATTTTAATGCCCCACAATGGTGACACACATTTTCCATACGGCAAATTTTCATGAGCCTGTGGCTATGGTAATCCAATGTCAAGTCATATTCAAAACCACATTTTTCAAATAATCCCCAAGCATTTCTGGTAAATGTTTGCCGGCACTCTGCTTGATGCTGAGCGACTGCGAGTCGTCTAGAATTTGTCTCATCTACTGTCTCGGAAGCACGCGGATTAGACATTAGCTGGGATTGATTTAGCCGTCGAGAAGTTTCTTCATCAGGTATTTCAATGGCACGCTGAGTGGACATACGCTATGCGTTTTCTTGATGCCAAGTAGCTGCTACTTCAGGTGTCTCTAATGCACGCTGATTAGCCATAAGCTGGGCATGCTCTCGCCGTCGAGAAGTTAATTCATCAGGTGTTTCAATGGCACGCTGAATGGACAACATTGTGCGTTTTCTTGACACCGAGTAGCTGCTTCTTCATGTGTCTCTAATGCACGCTGATTAGCCATAAACTGGGCATGCTCTCGCCATCGAGAAGTTGCTTCATAAGGTGTTTGATTGGATCACTGTGTGGCCATAGGCTGTGCGTGTTCTTGACGCGGAAAAGCTGCCTCATCAGTTGTCTCTGATGCACGCTGAGAAGCTATGCGGATAGGATTTTCCAGACGCCGAGCATCAGCTTGCGCAGAAGTTTCTCCAGTTCTGACTTCTGCCTGACGTGTTGCTTGGTCACGTCTGCACTGTTCAGTATCATAAGTAGATTCTTGCTGTCTTGCAATTTTCATAGATGAAGCTCTTTGTGAGCTCTGTGAACGATTTGGTTTACAATTGTGAGTCATAATTAGATACACAAAAAAAATATAACAATATCGTTGTCCTAGAAATATATATGAAATATTAATCTATCAAAATAGCTTTGACATGAATGTTCAAAATAGCTTTGACATGAATGTCAAAAAATATTTACCTACTTAAACAAAATTCATTTGCATCGATTTTCCCATCGAAATAAGATATTTTCCCGCAGTAAAATGTAGCCTATGTGTTAATTCAGGGTATCAGCTAACTCCACACCAAATTTTATTAAAATCGTTCCAGCCGTTTAGACGTGAAGAAGTAACAAACATACACACTCACATACTCACAAACTTTCGCCTTTATAATATTAGTGTGATTAGTGTGATTTTCTTATTATTTAGATTTGACCAAATAATTAGGTTCTTTGTTACCCCCGAAGTATGGCTGATTTACCCCCGGAGGGGTAATTACCCCCAGGTTCGGAACCCAGGCATTAGATGATTGGCCTCCGGGTCTGCGTGGATTTTTTTTAGTAAAATTTTCTTTTTAAGTTAAATGCTTAAGGAGTAAAAAATATGGACGTATCAAATAAATTAATTAATTGTTTTCAGTTGTCATACACTTTCCTTGGTTCCATGATGATGAACTTGATACAAATATCCATGTTCATATTCCTGCCTTGCATCGTGTTAGAGATGTGCGCGGTCGAAGTGGAGAGGATAAGGTTATTTCTCATGCATCAGCTGATTCAGGAAAAAGGTAAATAACATCCATTCTACATTCAGGCATGCATAAATTTGAAATACAAACATCAAATGTGAGGTCGGATAAAAAAATTAAGGAGCTCGATGGCGCGCGGGTGGTCAGCGTGTTCGGCAGCGATCTTTGAAGTTAAGCAACTTTCGCAGTGGTCGGTCATTGAATGGGTGACCAAAAATTTACTATCTCGAGCTCCTCCGTGCTTCGGAAGGCAAGTTAAGCTGTTGGTCCCAGCTGCATCTGCAGTCGTTAGCACTCGCCAATCCGCACTGGGCCCGCGTGGTGGGCCATGGCCCAATCTTCCTATTCCATCCATAGGGAAGGCCTGTGCCCCGGTAGTGGTATGAATAGGCTGATGATGATGATGATATAAAAATGGTACCATTATCTAAACATCATTAGACACTAAATTATAATATCAGAGCCCCACTTATTTTTTTTTAAATTCTGTTTATAGTATTTGTTGTCATAGCGGCAACAGAAATAAATTATCTGTGAAAATTCCAAGTGTGTAGCTATCACGGTTCATGAAATACACAGACACATAGAGACCTGGTGACACAGGGACAGGCAGGTCTGGACAGTGGAGTCTTAGTAATAGGATCCCGTATTTACCCTATGGATACGGAACTACCAGTAAATAGAAAAAAGTTACTTGGACTTTAACGGCAAGGTCATCAATAAAATTCTGTCTAAGGCATTAATCATAGATTATTTGTCTACCATCGAGATCTCTTAAGAGCCTTTTCACATTTTTTGCAAAAAATCGTAATTTTTGAGCGCCTCGTTTACCCCCTTAGAAAAGGTTTGGACTACTTCCAATAGAAGTTAACAGTAGATTTATTGTTCTTTTTGTAAGTTCATGTAGAATATTTGCAAATACTATTTTCCTTTTTTTTG